GTGATGGCAGTAAAGTCTGTTTCTAAAGTCTGTATTTTATACATAGCTAATCTAATCTAATATCATCTTATTTACATCAATCTATAGACAACAGCATTTGTTTGGATTTGATATGAAAAAAGAGATGAGTTAGTGACTATACATTTTTTGGGGGGGTGTCTGAAAAACTAGAAGGATAAAATTATATTAACTGAGGTGAAATTCTGTTGACTGAGATGGTACCATGGAATGAGCCAGTTTGGGGGGAATATCAAGAGCTCAGTTATGAACAAATTAAGTGTGAGATGTCCAATATTAAATGTCTAAGAGAACATGCTGAGGAGACAGATGTAAAACCCTGGAGTTCAGGGAACTTCAGGCTGGATACATAAATTTGAGAGTGAACGTTCAGTTCAGTTCAGTTCAGTTGCTTAGTCATGTCTGACTCTTTGCTACCCCATGGACTGCAGCATACCAGGCTTCCTTGTCCATCACCAATTCCAGGAGCTTGCTCAAACTCATGTCCATTGAGTCAGTGATGCCATCCAACCATCTCATCCTCTGTCACCCCCTTCTCCTGCCTTCAGTGTTGCCCAGCATCAGGGTCTTTTCCAGTGAATCAGTTCTTCACATCAGGTGGTCAAAGTATTGGAGTTTCAGCTTCAACATCAGTCCTTCCAATGAATATTCAGGACTTATTTCCTTTAGGATGTACTGGTGTGATCTCCTTGTTGTCCAAGGGACTCTCAAGAGTCTTCTCCAGCACCACAGTTCAAAAGCATCAATTCTTCAGTGAACCCAGGGCAGACAAATTCTTTAAAAGCTGAGCCACAAGGGAAGTCCAATAATACTAGAGTGGGTAGCCTATCCCTTCTCCAGTGGATCTTCCTGATCCAGGAATTGAACTGGGGTCTCTTGCATTGAAGGTGGATTCTTTACTAACTGAGCTATCAGGGAAGCCCAAGAGTGAGTGTAGGTGGTATTTAAAGCTATGAGAATAACTGATTGACCAAGGGATGAAGCACAGATAAAGAGAATAACAATGCATATGACTGGGCCCTGAGTTTTTAATATTTAGGGACCAACTAATGAATAGGAGTCAGTGAGGGAGACTGGGTAATGGCCAGCACAATGGGAGATAAACCAGAAGAGTGATGTCTTGATATACTATGTCATATGGTCCTGAGAGGTCAAGTAAGATGGCCGCTGGATTTCACTATGTGTAGGTTATTGATGACTTTGATGACCTCACAACAGAAGTTCTTATAATACTTTCTTGATAGCTCTAAAACTCAGGGAACGTCATAAAAATCTTCTGTATCTTCAGCTTCTTCTGCGCTGCACTTGAAACGTACTTCCTCTAAGGACCCTGTGCACCCAGGGGTCCCCTGAAGTCATGTGTACCTAGAAAAAGACCTTGCATGTGTCAAGGGTGGGAATGCCTTGTAAATGAAGCATTGTGATTGATTCAGTTCTCTGTGCCTGCAGTTGAGAGATATTGACCATGAACTGTAGCTTTAGAGATATTCAAATACCTCTGCAGCCTCAGACTCATGGCTGGTAGTGAAGATGATCTGAAGGAAGCTTGAGGGCCCACTGCAGGAGACTTTGGTGAGTCCTAAATCACCACGTCAGTCAGAGGTGAGGGGAAGGTTGAGGCCAGCTGAGACTTCTACTGCATTGTTACTTGGTCTGTGCTGTGAGAAACTCAGCAGAAGTAGGACTAACCGGAAGACAAAGGCTTCTGGGAGTGGGGGTTGGCAACAGGGACAATGGGCAAAGGCTGCCTATACCTGATGCCTTCAGTCATCCAGCTATACATGTTGATTTGTCAACATTGAGGATAAGAGGGTCAATGGCTTTAGTCATGGGACCCGTAGGTCACACAGAGAGGAAGAGGAATTTGTGTGTAAGCCAGAGACAAGGAAAGCATGGCATTGATGTCTAGGGGGCCACAGGAATTTTGAGCCACCTTTCCCTGACTTGGGCAGGTTTTTATTTCCATGTTGTAAAGGAGTAAACAGGTTCTGAGAAATGGTGTCTTGCCTACATTCAGCTTCTTGCAAATTAAAGAGCCACTTCTCAGATGAAGATCTCAATTTCAAATCTTCCACAATGTGTATCCCTCATTGTGTATTGCTGTTGAAATACACACACAGTGTGGATATTATTTAGTATATATCTAAAAGAGTTTTTTGAGCCAGGTATTACTGCTCCATGTTATAGGTAAGGGGACCAAGGCACAGAAAGAGTAAGAAATCTGTATGGATTCACGTATCATATTGGATGCACAATCAAAACTCTAATCCAATAGTTTATTAAATTTCCATTGCTTAAAAACAAACAAACAAACAATACCACTGCTTCCCAATAAGGCTGCAGTTACTTACCCTTCTATGGATTCAGCAACCCTCCCCTCATTCTCCAGTGAAAGTGAAAGTCACTCAGTCATGTCTGACTCTTTGGGACCCCATGGACTGTAGCCTGCCAGGCTCCTCTGTCCATGGAATTCTTCAGGCAAGAATACTGGAGCGGGTTGCCATTTCCTTCTTCAGGGAATCTTCCTGACCCAGGGACCGAACCTGGGTCTTGTACATTGCAGGTGAATTCTTTACTGTCTGAGCCTCCAGGGAAGCCCATTCTCTAGTAATGAACTTAAACCAAAGTCCACATATTTGCTCCCAGCTCCCCTCACCAAGAGCCCCACCCCAGCTCCTTGTGGTTAGAACTTGTGCGGAAGTACCGCCTCATCTTGGGGAAAAATTGAGGTGGCCATCAGTGTCTACATTTCCTGACTATAAAAGCCTGCAACTTATTCTGTCATAAAACAGGAAGTGTGGCAACCTTAGTTCTCACTTTGCCAAACAAAAGGGTTGTGGTTTTCCTTTTGCTGTCTGAATCCTGGGCTTACTTTAGCTCAGAATTCTGTTCATTCTTTCCTTCACCACACTTTCAACCTCCCGCTTCCTTCCCTGTAGCGCTTGCTTGCCACTGACACCATCAGAGAGCTTGTATCTCCATTGAGTTCTAATATTCCAACATCCACTCCCATCAAGATGCAAATTGTTGGGCTGGCCAAACATTCATTTGGGATAAACCCTGAATGAAAACTTTTTGGCCAGCCCAATGCTTCTAATAATCTCCTTCAAGCAAGTTCTAACACATAATGTGTTAATCTCATTTTTAAATATTGTAAGTGGCCATGCTAATTAACCCCAAATAGGGAAGCCTAGGAATATAGAAACAGAGCTTAGTGTTGTAATAAAATATAAAACTGTCATCAATTTAATTTGACATACAAAAAGTGATGTTCACAATCATTGTAATACATTTTTATTAGACATAAATGATGATCTCTTTACTTGGGTGACTATAATTTCTAGTAGTTTTATGCAGACTTCCCTTATCCTTCAGTCAGTCAGTTCAGTCACTCAGTCATGTCCGACTGTTTGTGACCCCATGGACTGCAGCATGCCAGGCTTCCCTGTCCATCACCAACTCCCAGAGCTTGCTCAAACTCATGTCCACTGAGTCAGTGATGCCATCCAACCATTTCATCCTCTGTCGTCCCCTTCTCTTCCTGCCTTCAGTCTCCCAGCATCAGGGTCTTTTCCAATGAGTCTGTTCTTATGGCTTAATTCTTGTTAAATTAAAACACAAACATATTTCTTTTCTCTTTTATACGTACTGAGGAGGGTCTGTAGCTGATGTCTTCCTGCAAGTACAGAGGACAGACTGGATGCCCACAAGACTTATCTGCCTTTTCCTGGCCTTTCTTTCAGTATGGCCAAATGAACTCTTTTTCCTCCTGCATATGGTTTTCCTGTGTCCCTGCTGTTCCCTTTCTACCAAATGCCCACAACTTGCCTCCACCCAATGTCTCCTTGAGCAGTCCTCCTCTTTTTCTACTCTGTGGTCAGCTGGACCGGTCCTGGGTCAGTGTGGTACCAACCGGTGCTGGCGTCTTTGGGGTCAGTATATTATTGTACCTGGCAGCATGATCTCTCTAGAACTGCAGGCAGGAATATATTATGACTACTGGGACCCAAGGAACTATACCAAATTCTTAATATATAGTTAACAAACACAGTCAGGTCGTCAAAATCCATTAAAATGGAGATTCAGGCCAAGACCAAGGAAATATTTAGCTTATTTCTTTAGGACTTTGCTGAAGAACAGAGATTCAGTTCTCTGAAGTGTGGTCATCTTGGGTGTTAGGTAGTCTTCAGAGAGGTTTCCTAGCAGATTCCTGCCCTGCCCAGCCCCCTCTCCATTCCCATGAACAGTGCTGTCTCTGGTCCTAGCTTAGCTCACAAGCCCATTCCTAGGCCTGGCCTCAAAGCAGACTGAAGAAGGCCTCTGCTGTCCCTCCCTAGGCAGGCGGGAGGGCATGAGAACAGGGGTCTCTTGGGAGCAAAAGTGAGCTCCAGAAGCTGAGTTTATCCCTCTTCCACCCTTGCTGTCCTTTAAATAATGTTCACACCTGCTCAGTCTGCAGTTTCTCCCTGGTAGTATGGTCATGTGCTCTGAGGACAAAACAAAGCCTGTTGATCAGTCAGAAATTCTTGGTTCTATCTTTGTACCAACCCAGTTGTCTCCATCAAACAGTCTGTCTCCTGGTGATATTAATAGTATCCAGTCCCCCAAAGTGGAATGCAGAAGCTGATTTCCTCCAATAGCCTAGGACCTCTACTAGTAGACAGATGGATAAAGAGATCATTTGATCAGTTGACCCGTGTAGATCGAAAGCCACGGGTCTGAGTTTCTCAGGAAATAGGGTCTCGGGGAGTTGCTGACTCAGAATGAGGAGTTTGCCTCAGCTGTGTGTCTGCAAGTATGTTTGTGGAGGGCCTGGTGCTTTAGCACTGAGGAGCTATTAGGGGGTTTTCCAGTGACCTGTGGAAGACAGACGTAGGAATTTAATGTTCTGTATCTCCTGGATCAGTCCCAATTGCCAACATGCTCTTTTGCTGTCTCTGTAGTATATTTGTTGTTCTTTTCAGAGGCCACAGAGAGCTGCATCATTGGGCCTTCTTCTCACAGATCCAGCGGTAGGTGATGTTACATGAAACAGCATCATATGTCTTTGTTAGACCTATGGTCACACAGTGGAAATTCTGACCCTGATTGGTAACGCTAGTTGGGAAAAAAAGCATGGTTAAGGCCTGTCATTTCAGCCCTGCCTTTTCCTGGTTCTGATACCCCCTCAGCATCCCCACGGAGAAGGAAATGGCAACCCACTCCAGTATTCTTGCCTAGAGAATCCCGTGGACAGAGGAGCCTGGCGGTCTGCTGTCCATAGCATCGCACAGAGTCGGATACGACTGAAGCACCTTTGCATGCATTGGAGAAGGAAATGGCAACCCATTCCGGTATTCTTGCCTAGAGAATCCCATGGACAGAGGAGCCTGGTGGGCTGCTGTCCATAGCATTGCACAGAGTCGGATATGACTGAAGTGCCTTAACATGCATGCATGCATTGGAGAAGGAAATGGCAACCCGCTCCAGTGTTCTTGTCTGGAGAATCCCAGGGACTGAGGAGCCTGGTGGGCTGCCGTCTCTGGGTTGCACAGAGTTGGACACGACTGAAGCAACTTAGCAGCAGCAGCAGCAGCCCCAAATCCAGCTCAAAAACTGATGCTTTCCTGTCAGCTCTCCTGTGAGTTTTTATGGACTCGCTATCTTGGATTAACTCACTCTGTTTGGTTAGAAACACCTCATGGGTTGTTTGTCCCCTTTGCTCCCAGACATAATGTTTTAGTGCTGGAGGTCCTATGTTTTCAACAGGAGGCCCAAGAGGAGAAGGAGGAAGGAGATTTCTCTTCCTTTCCTGGACACCAGCTGGCTTTGTGAAAAACTTGGTTGGTCTTTTCATACCTCTTTTAACTGTCTTTCAGTCAGACTGCAAAGAGTCTGGTTTCATGGGGAGGACATAAGTTTTGGAGCCAAGTGGATGCAGGGTCAAATTGTAGCTCTACCACACCCTGGCTTTGTGATGTTCAACACATTTCTAAGCCTCAGTTCAGCTGTCTGTTAAATGGGAATCAATAAAGGCTTTTCCTAGTAGCATCATTGTGAATACTACCAGGAATGACATGTAAAGTGCTTAGCAAGGGCCTTGCATTTAGTAGACATTGAATGAATGTTCACTTACTCCTTTCTGCGAGCGGCTGGTTACAGTCTGGGGAACTGACTTGCTTTCTATCTGACTCACCATTTTCATAGGTCTGCTGGGAATGTCATGTTCCTCACCATGGCTATGGCCATGGAATGATACATAGGACATAGCTCTTGGGAGTTAAAGTTTAATAGCTTTAAGGCATAGACAAATTGTTTATAATAACATTTCTTTAGATAGAGAAACCATCTCTGGGGAACTTGTAAGAACTTAGTTAAAAAAATGTGATCTCTGGGTTAAAAGATACTTATGAGATATATCAAACATAATATGTATGGGGATTTGTTTGGATCTTGATTTGAACAAAATAATTTGTTGAATGAACAGTCCTCTCTACTCAGAAATATTTTATATTTTCCATAATAAAAAAATTTACCCCAAAAATGTGTCTCTGGGGATAAGTGGGTTGGAATAAAGGAGAGGGAGAGAACATGCAGCTAAGTCTCAGCCTTTGTGCTGTTCCAGGGCAAACCCACTAGTCTCTAGAAGCAGCTAAGACCCCAGAAAAATGTGAGATGTTCACATACTTGCCATTAAATGCAGCATTGTTGATCCAGCGCCACGTTTTCTCTACAGGCTGGTATAATAAGCCAATAAAATACTTCTCAGCACCAGTTATGTCCTGGAGAAATTTCTAGAAATTAAAGAGATAAAACAATCAGCAAAAAGTTCTTTTCTTCTGCTTCCTTTGTGCCAATGGACTCATAATTATATCTGTCTGGGAACAAGTAAAGGACTCCAGGGCTGGCTATCCCTGGCACTGCCCATCAGCCCTAGAGACGTAATTCTCATTTTACCCAGAGCATCAAAATCATGCGGAAGTCTTGTTAACACATAGACTGCTGAGCTCTGGTTTAGTAAGTCTGGTGGAAGGGACCAAGAATTTGCATTCCTAATAAATTCCCAGGTGATGCTGATGCTTTGAAAATGAAGGAGGAGGGTACTATACCATCTAAAAAAGGGTAATTTCAAATAAACCTTTCTTTGATCTACTCTGCATAGGATTGTTTTCATTGCCAGAAGTTTTACATTCCAAGTAAGACTGGATCATCTTGGAGAAGGAAATGACAACCCACTCCAGTGTTCTTGCCTGGAGAATCCCAGGGATGGAGAAGCCTGGTGGGCTGCCGTCTATGGGGTCGCACAGAGTCGGACACAACTGAAGTGACTTAGCAGCAGCAGCAGCAAGACTGGATCAAGTAAATTCCTTGAACACTTGGCAAGGGAAAACAGGGGGATTTGAAAGTGTGTTGCCAAAGCAGATAATGCCACAAGAAATAATCAGTTGCCAACAAAGGTCTGTTTAGTCAAGGCTATGGTTTTTCCAGTAGTCATGTATGGATGTGAGAGTTGGACTATAAAGAAAGCTGAGCACTGAAGAATTGATGCTTTTGAACTGTAGTGTTGGAGAAGACTTTTGAGAGTCCCTTGGACTGCAAGGAGATCCAACCAGTCCATCCTAAAGAAGATCAGTCCTGAGTGTTCATTGGAAGGACTGATGTTGAAGCTGAAACTCCAATACTTTGGCTACCTGATGCGACTCATTGGAAAAGACCCTGACGTTGGGAAAGATTGAAGGCAGGAAGAGAAGGGGACGACAGAGGATGAGATGGTTGGATGGCATCACTGACTCAATCAATGGACATGAGTTTGGGTAAATTCTGGGAGTTGGTGATGGACAGGGAGGCCTGGCGTGCTGCGGTCCACGAGGTTACAAAGAGTCAGATGTGAATGAACGACTGAACTGAACTGAACTGATTGAGTGCCTGCTAAAATGACACTGACCTTAGACATCTTAATTTCTGCATTAAATTAATGGGTCACAAATCACTCTGGCCAGAAACCTGGGAGTCCCCTGGACTCTCCTGTATTCTTCACGTTCCTCCCATTATCAGTGGCTATTCAAGTCCACTTAAATATTCTCTCCATCCCCATGGTTACTGCCTTTATTCCTCTTTTCCTAATATTTTTCTTCCCTGAAATACTTCATTATTTTTAAAATTTGATTACCAGATTTACTCATTAGTAAACTTTTTTTTTTTTTTTTGAGTATGTGTTGTGTGCCAGGCATTGTATTAGGTTGGAGATACAGAAATACATTTGATTCTTTTTTAAAAAAATTATGATTTAAAATGGGTTGGCAAAATATGGGCAGTGGGTCAAATTCAGACTGGAGCAAAATTTTATAAACAAGGTTTTAATGGAACAAGCCATGGCAATTTGTTACATATTGTGTATAGCTGCTTTTGAACTATGATAGCACTATTAAGTAGTTGTGACAGAGAACATATGACCTGAAAAGTGTAAAATATATACCATCTATGTTTTTAAAAAATGTCTGCTGACCCATGGTCTGAAACAAGGGTTCTTAACCCTTCTGTCTCTTGCTGGAAGCAGGGATGGTTTCTACAGGGATCTATAAAACCACTCGAATTTTATTCACAATATTGTGCTTATGTAATATTTCTGGAAAGAGATGAATAGATTTCACCACCATTTCTAAAACATCAGTTATCCCAACATGTTGAAAATCCACAGATCTAATAAGAGAAGATAGATGAGTTGACCAGCATAGAAGGGTATCCCAGGTGTAGTGCTTTTTGGAAATATATATTAGATATGGATCAGGAGGGCTTCCCCTGTGGCTCAGAGGTAAAGAATCCACCTGCAATGCAGGAGCCACAGGAGATGGGGATTGGATACGTGGGTCAGGAAGATCCCCTGGAGGAAGGCATAGCAACCCACTCCAGTATTCTTGCCTAGAGAATCCCATGGACAGAGGAGCCTGTGGGCTACAGTCCATGGGGTTTCATAGAGTCAGATTGACTGAAGCAACTTAGCACGCATGCATGCCCAGGGAGAAAGGAGGAAGTGAATAATTATGGGATTTCGGAGTCTATATAAAGACTGCATATGAGGCAATATGTGAGATGGATTTGGGGAGATAGCTATTGTAAGGCAAGTGCTAGGAGCGGGGTGTGTGTGTGGCGGGGGGTGGGGTGGGGGTAGTGGTCAGGATTGGACTTCCTGGAAAAGGAAGTAATTAGATCACAGGCAGACTGCAGAGTGTGCGTGCATGCTCGGTCACTTCAGTTGTGTCCGACTTTTTGTGACCCCATGGACCGTAGCCCGTCAGGATCCTCTGTCCATTGGATTCTCCAGGCAAGAATACTGGAGTAGGTTTCCATTTCCTCCTTCAGGGGATCTTCCCGCTGCTCTTAGTTTCCTGCATTGGCAGGCAGGCTCTTTACCACTAGCGCCACAGGCTGGAGCATCTGTGGAACTACAAGATGCTGAATTCGGTTGGTGCAGACACAGGATTGGAGAGAAGGCAGAGGCTGGACCATACAAGGCTTACATGTCATGCTAGGGAAACCGAACTTTAACTCACTTCATTTTGGAAAATGGCACAGATAGTTTAGAGCCTTAGACCAGTTAGTAGGTCAGATCTGTGGAGAATAGGTAAGAAGTGGCAAAACTAGGGGCAAGGAGAGAAATTAGGAGAATCCCAAAGAAATCCAGGGGAGAGCTGAATGATTTGCTGTGGAGATAGCAGGGAAGGAACTTGGTTAGCAGATAATTTAGGGGGGAAACAAAAAGGCGAAGTCCAAGGTGCTCCATTTCGGTTGACATGATGACTCACCAGTATTTGGGATACAAGAGGAGGAGCAGTTGGGGTAAAACTTGATTTAAGTTTTAAGCATGGTATGTTTGTGGTGGTTTTGAGACATCAAAGTAGAATGTGATTCACTGTCTGGTCTAGGAAAGGGAACTGAAGATACGGATATGAGAGTCATCGGCAAGCCATTGGTGTGATGAGCTTTTTCTGGGGTTAGCATGAGTGTAAGTGGCAGAGAATGCCAAGGATGGCTTTTGAAATGTATCAACTCTTAAGGGGTTAGTAGAGGAAAAGAGGTTATGGACGTCCTTTCCCATTGCCCTCTTCTTTCCTTTTTCTCTTTTCTGCCCTCTGTCTTGCTCTTGGTTTTCTATCTACTTCAAGGCATTTTCCCTTCCCACTTGGGTCCATAGCCCTAGAAGAGCTGTATCATCATGATCCCTGCTCACTGTTGGGCACCTACTACTGAGATTCACAGAGATGCTCTCATAAACTCTTCACCACCACAGGGCTTTTTAGAAGAAGGGTGAAGGGAAGAGCAGAAAGAAGCTAGAATACTGTGTGCAGCACAATGTCTAGTGCTCAGCAAATCTGTAGGGTTTGAAGGAGAGGCAACTGTAAACTAAAATTATGGCCTAAAATTCAGTTGCTCGATCGTATCAGACTCTTTGCAACTCCCTGGACTGTAGCCCACCAGGCTCCTCTGTCCCTGGGGCTTCTCCAGGCAAGAATACTGGAGTGGGTTGCTATTTCCTCCTCCAGGAGATCTTCTCAACCCAGGGATTGAACCTGCATCTCTTGCGTCTGTCTCCTGCACCAGTAGGCAGACTCTTTACCACTAGCACCACCTGGGAAGCCCTAAAATTGATTAGAGTGTGGGTTTTGGACTTAGAGAGATCTCAATTCAATTCCATGTGCTGTCATTTACTAGGTATATGACCTTGATCAAATTATTTTCCTGTGCCCTAGTTTTTTATATTTTAATTTTATTCTATTTATTTAAGCATGAAAATTCTCTACTTAAAATCTAATTTTTATTGGAGTATAGGTGCTTTCCTAGTGTTCCCATATATAAAATATAAAGAACTATAACTCCTCAGAATTATTATGATAAAAAGAGATAATAAAGCTTTTTACATAGTGTGAGCTATTTTTACTCTCATAATTGCACACTGCAATCCCAATACTATGATCTGATTCTTTGTTTTGCATGTTACTAATTTTGTTATTTAAAAACTTCCTTACTTATTAGGCTGATTGGGATCAGATATTAACAGCTCATGTCTGTGAAGAATTCCGTAGTTTTAAAAGCTTTATACACATTGGCTCATTTAGTCATTCCCTGTATTTTAAATGTCCTGGCCCCTCCCCAACACACTGATCATGGGAGAGACCATAGAGTGTGAATTTCATTAGCTCAAATGGGCCTGAGGAACACACCCCACTGCTATTGAGAAGAGCCTCCCACCCCGTCTCCATCCCACCTCCACCCATTCCCTGCTCCACAAATCAAATTGCCCCACCAACTCAACTCCACCCAGTGAGGCTGGTGAAGGGATGCTGCTTTTCTGTACCATTCCATGGGCTCACCAGTTTCTCTGGTGTGTTGACGATGGCCAACGTGGATCCTTTTACTTTGCAAAAGTTCATGCTCTTGTTCCAAGGCAATTCCGATTTGGACAAGAAAAAACATCTTCCTTGATGAAAATTCCACCCCTTGGGGCAGACTACAGAAATCCAAGAAAAGAGAGGATCAGATTAGTGGGGTTTGGGGTATGCATCTTGGGAGCGAATCATAAGACAGTAGGAAGTGGGTTTCTTTAGAATTATTATATCAATACAATTCTCTTCAATCCAGGAAGAAATTTCATCCACTTTGACCCCAGTTTCCCTGTCTGTAACATGAAGGGAATGATGATAAGGTCACTATGGCCCCATTGGGTCAAACGGTTTCATAAGAAAGGAGACAATGGGAAAAGTCTCTAAGAATTCACTACCTAAGAACCTGGAGGTGGAGAGGGTTATAAGCATGCGCTGTACCTGTTCCATAGCTCTCTGTTGGAGTGAAGCTGACAGTGCCATTCTCCAAAATCTGTGGAACTGAAATGAAAAGAAAACCTGAAGATAGCCGGATGATGGATGCGATACACAAATGTCACAGCAGATGTCCAGAATGGACAGTGGAATTAATAAGGGACTCTTTGCTATTCTGTGTTGGAATTTTTCAGATTTTTTTCTTTGGAACGTGAACTACATCCAACTACTACTATTATTTGACCTGCCTCAGGTCCTATTTTATGTCTTCTTTTTGGTGTCTCATATATACCTTTGATGGGTTTCCCAGGTGGCTCTAGTGGTAAAGAACCCGCCGGATAACGCAGGAGATATAGAGATGCAAGTTCGATCCCTGGATTTGGGAGATGCCCTGGAGGAGGGCATGGCAACCCACTCCAGTATAATTGCCTAGAGAATCCCCATGGACAGAGGAGCCTGGTGGGCTATAATCCAAAGGGTCGGACACGACTGAAGTGACTTAGCACACACACATATACTTTTGACAGTGTGAGATGCCAAGAAAAAGAGCAGGAGAAAGGAAGAGGAATAGATGCATTTAGTACCAGAAAGGAAACCTCCCTGTTCTTTCTCATCTGTACCCTTTACAGTGTTTTCCCCAAAGAGCTGTCTGGAGTGCTGCCTCTCCAGGCTCCACATAGCACCTTTGCTTCTCTCCCCACTGCTGGGGTGTGCCTTAAACCCTATGTGAAAACCCATGGTCCTGATGGGCAGCTCTTGACTCTCTCATCAGCAATTATCAGCTCTAAGGATTGTGCTCACTGGAACAAGATTCAGAACTAGAGGATGTTGCCAGACAAGGAGGCAGATGGACATTCCAGAGGTTTCTCTTTTGATTTTTGGCTATGCCACATGGCATGTAGGATCTTATTTCCTTGACCAGGGGTTGAATCCATGCCCCCGACAGTGGAAGCACAGAGTCTTAACCACAGGACTGCCAGGGGAGTCCCCAGAGATTTCCTGTGGGCAGAGAAGAGTCCATTCATCTCTTTAAACATAAAAGGAGAATCAGTAGGCCTCCAAGAGGCCTCCTTATTTTGGGGGAACACTGGCTGTTGGAGTGGGTGGTTATAGTGGCTCCAGAGGTTGATCAGACTTTTCCTGGACCAGCTGTTTGTCCATGGTGGTTGAAGACCAGTTTAGTTTACCCAGGTGCCAATTAGCTACTTAAAATCATATATAAAATGTGCAAGTTAGCATTCACTTTTTATTTTAGTCCCCTATTCAAAGGCTCTTTGTAATATAGCATAACCTGGATTTCATTAGAAACAACTTGGGGATTATAACTGAACAGAACTGTATACATATTTCATGAGCGTTTCCTCCTTTTGGCTCACTGTACTTACTGGGTGCCTCAGTTGCTACAAAGATGAAGAAGAAATTATCTTTCTGATAAAGATGTGGCTAGTAATAAGTTTGTACTAAGAGCAAGTGAGAAGGAGATCCTTGGAAAAGCTTCAAAAGGAGGTGGGGTTCATAAGGAGAGCCGTGCCTGACATGTTTTTACCCGCATAGCTTCTGGCATTGGACTTTGTGCTTTATAGAATGATAGTTGACTAATTTCTCCTGTTTTCAGTCTCCTTCTGTGTTTGGTCTAGCATACTGCTTAGCACCAAAAAAAGGTACTGAATATAATTTTTGATGATTTTTGTGGAGCATGGGTTTCGTTAAACAATTCTTTAAATGACAGGGTTTATAAAGTACTTTCATATCACATTACACTAGTTATACACAAATCATCCTCATTCCCAAAAGGAAAAGAGGATCTGAAATGTCATCAAGTCTAGTCTTGGTTTCTCATCTCTAAAAGTAAGAAAATTAATTAGAAGATCTTTGTTTTTCTGGGTGTGCTGCATTTATTTTACTTTTCCAGCTTTATTGAGATATCACTGACACATAACATTATATAAGTTTGAATATACAACATGATGATCTAATACATGTACTTATTGCAAAATTATCAACACAGTAAGGTCAGTAACTCCTCCATCACCTCGCAAAATCATCTTTTTTGTATGTGTCGTGAGAACATTGAGCATCTACTCTTCTAGCAACTTCCTTGCATACAATACACAGTTATTACTTACAGTCACTATGTTGTACATAGGAGTTTTGGAACTCATTCATCTTTTTAACAATTAGCAGCTCTTGACAAACTCATTCTACAGAAGAATGTCTAGGGGAAGGAGGCTTTGAGAAAGGTCTTTAAGACTTAAGCACAGAAGAACCTGGAGGGGGGAGAGGAGGTTATTTTCATGTACACTACCTGTTCCAGAGCTCTCTGTGGGAATGAAGATGACATTATGTTCGCCAAAAATCTGTGGGACTGCAAAGAAAATCAGTGGTTGACTCAGCCCCAAAGGTGGCTGTGCAGTGAGTGTTATAGACAGACGTTACTGTGGGGCTGGTGGGACATAACACCTGTCAGTGGGACAGGTTGAGCTCTCTGACTCGGGTCAGCCAAGGTGGGCATGTGTTTCCTGTGGATATATTCACTCATTCTCATCCTGCTCTCTTATGTGGTGGAAACTGCACCTCGAGATTGGGCCATATGGTCGATACCTCTTACCCAACTGTTGCCTCCAAATCACATTTCCTTCCTCATTTATCTTCCCCACAGGCTTCTGAGGCTGGAGAAGATTTTACTTGCTGCAACTGTGGTAAAATCTTTTATGAGGCCTCTTTTTCTGAGCATTTGGATGAATTAGTCTCTGTGTACATAAAGGAAACTATCTTGCCCAGTAAAACCCCATTAACCTTTAAGTAGCTCCAGGTGGCACTAGTGGTAAGGGACATACCTGCTAATGCAAGAGACTTAAAAGACCTGGGTTCGATTCCTGGGTTGGGAAGATCCCCTGGAGGAGGGCACTGGAGAGGCAACCCACTCCAATATTCTTGCCTGGGGAATCCCCATGGAGAGAGGAGATTGGCAAGTTACAGTCCATGGGGTCGCAAAGAGTCAGACACAACTGAAGCGACTTAGCACGCCCCACAGCTTATCACTGGGTTGGACTGGAGCTGTATTTTCAAATTAGAAACTATAACACGCACTGCAGAGTATTTCAGTTCAGATTACCCAACGAATACTCTAGTGGCAAAAATTTTGTGTGGGAATCTAATCATTACACACTCCTCTATTTTGTGTCTCCAAGGTAGACCAAGGAACTCCGTCTATTGTGTGTGTGTCTGGGAATGAGAAGGGCAGTCAATTGCCCTCAGCTGGAAAATCTTGAGCATTTAACTTTTATATTCAACCCTGCATCCTAGGGAAAGGGTCAAGAACAGTACAATCTGAGTTGCGGTAAGAGGTTGATCAGATACTCACAATAAAGCAGAAATAAGGTCATTCCAACAATTTTAAGCACCACTACGATAAGCCCAGAGATTATCATGTGCCAGTTCATGATGCAGGAGATGAGGAGGCCTGTGGGCATGAGAGCACAATATCACCATCGGAATCTAGGACAAGGCTTCTTCCCAGCAGGGAATGTGCCTGACTCTCAGAACAACCCTTAGGGGTTGGGAAGCCCGGCTTGATATTGATAGGCACAAGGAGAAGACCCAGCACATACCCAGAAGACAGGGAGGAGCTTGTGCTCCTTGGGAAGCTTTGAACCTGATGTGCTGCCTCTCCTCTGCCATCCCTAGCTCTCGGCCTCAATCCTGTTCCCGTCTGCAGCTCTTAAACTCTGTCTGATGAATAAACCCTCTCCTGGACTTTGAGAACCCTTAACCTTGAAATGATCCTTGCTCCCTGAGCCTTTCACTTGTAGTCTTGGCCACACGGTCTAAGCTCTCAGAAGTTGTCACCTTCAAAAAACTATGCCAGGAGTCCGACAGACAGGACAAGTGTCCCTGAGGTCCTTTGCGTGGGAGCAGAGCCAACAATCTGTATAGAGAGGACAGGCAGAGACTCACCTGATGTCTCCCTGGAAGGCTGGTCTGGTCTGCAGGTGGGGATCTTTCCAGTGGCCTTGTGCCTGGTATGGTGGGTGGAGGCCCCTCCAGTGAGAACAGGCTCCTTGTGTGTGAGCGGTGTCCTTCCTTCCTTACATCATCTCTGTCTCACCAGCATCCCTGAGCAAACACTTGTTCCTGTTCAGTGTTCTTGGCAAAGGGAGCAGGAGGGGCTAGGAGGGGAAGGGAGTAACTTCTGAAAGAGGAAGGTCCCTGCCAAAGGGGTTCTCACAGAGGGGAATGATGGTAGGATTATTTAGGAAATGGAACATCTTAACACCGACTTGTTCTCTGTGTCTGAATCTCCTTGAAGTAGAATGGAAAGAAAATGTAGTAAAATGTGGTAGTAAAAACAGATACAAGTCTGGGTGAAGAGTGTGAATTATTTATTTGGACTTTCCTTACAACATGTCTGCAAATCTGAAATTGTCAAAATAAAAAATTTTAAGAAAAGAAATTCATCTGAAGTCACTACTTTTAATAAGGAGGTCCTCATATGTCCCATTGTTTCCATAACTGCAACCTGGTTCTCTGCTCAGTCCCCTTTATCATGGACTCCTCCTCCCTGGCCTTATGCCTCGAGAAGCTGATGACTATTCAGTATTTACAAGCATGCTCTGCTGGATACATGGGGTCTGGTGAGGGTGAATAATACTGAAGTCTTACTATCAAGGATATATTACATTTGAAGTTTTCCTTTTATTATACTTTTCCTACTGTAAAGGCTATGTGTACTCACTGGGGCTTCCCTGATGGTTCAGATGGTAAGGAATCTGCCTGCAGTGCAGGAGGCCCGGGCTCGATCCCTGGGTTTAGGAATATCCCCTGGAGAAGGGAAGGGCAACCCACTCCAGTATTCTTACCTGGAGAATGCCATGGACAGAGGGGCCTAGTGGGCTACAGTCCATGGGATCATAAAGAGTCGGACACGACTGAGTGAAAAACACACACTAATTACAAAAAATGGTTAAAGGAACTTTCCTGGTGGCCCAGTGGCTAAGACCCTGTGCTCCCAATGCACAGGGCCTGGGTTCGATCCCTGTCTGGGAGCTGGATTCTGCATGTTACAACTAAAGAACTCACCTGCCCCAGTGAAGGTCAAAGAACCTGCTTTCCCCAACTAAGACCCGGTGCAGCCAAATAAATAAATAAATATTTTTAAAAAGTGGTTAGAAAATACTGGCAAGGAACATTGAGAAAATAATGTTCATAAAATTTTACATTTAGCAATAGTTGCTGTTAACATTTCTGGGTGTGTATACTTTATAGATGATCAGGTAGATAAGAAGATAGATAAGTAGATAGGTAGATAGATACTGGGTCATTTAGAAAACTGGGATCATATTGTATATATTATTTGTAGTCTAGGCACTATAGGTTAAACTCACACTGTATTACAGGTATCCCTTCAAGTCAAAATATAGATTTTTGATGATATATCATTATTATTGCATATACACTTACATGATTTATTCAACGATTGGACCACTGTAATTCTTCTAGTAAAGTGTATCTTCTGACTAATTTCACTTTTCGCTGAGATGGTCCACAGATAACCCAGTGTGGACATACCCTTGAGTGTATTATTTACCATCCTCTGCTAAAACAGGGCTTCCCTTGTGGCTCAGCAGTAAAGAATCCACCCACAATGCAGAAGACCTGGGTTCAAGCCCTGGGCTGGGAAGATCCCCTGGAGAGGGAAAAGGCTACCCACTCCAGCAGTCTGGCCTGAAGAATTCCCTGGACTGTATAGTCCACGGGGTCGCAAATAGTCGGACACGACTGAGCGACTTTCACTCACTGCTAAAACATGTTCATTCTCGTAAGTTCCTTATCTCTGGATGGGAAGACCATCTACTCAGTTGCCCATAGCTTTAAATTAGGGTATTATCCTTGGCTTCTCTCTCTCCCCTCCTTCCCATCCAATCAAACACTAAGTCACGATGATTCTCTTGGAGCTTCTCAACCTGTCTTCTCCTCCACTTCCTCAATGCTACCTTGTCTCTGGTCTCCACCTGCTCTCTCCTCGATCTTCTCAGCAATGTCTAAAGAAACCTATGTGCAACATCTTGCTTTAACAATTCTCCACTCTTCAGCAAGAATGATCTTTCTAAAATGCAGACTTGACCCTATCATTCCTGTGATGAAATTTTTTAATTACTTTCCATTGTTCTTAGGATAATCTGAAGAGTTGGAGCCTGGAGGTGAGGGGTGCCTCTTGAACCAGGAGAGGGGAGGATTTGGAGCCTGTGGAGAGATGGTCAGGTTCCAGAACAGAGATCCCAGGGAGATGCTCACACTTGGCTTTCATGTTGTGCAGTGGCTCATTGAATAAATTAGAAGTTCTGCTGCTGAGGACAGTTATCCAGTTGGGTAGGGAGGACATGACTTCATTTCTATCAAGCTGTCACAGCATCAGGCAGAAGAAACACTGTGCTCAGTCATCAGACTTTCTGCTCAGGTTGTCTGTAGCCTGGCAAAACAGAACCAGAGAAAATAAAATACTTCATTAGATCTTAAAATATTTAACACTTTCAATATCTATCTAGTTCCATCACACATTTGAATGTTGGGGAAAGCTCCCTAACTTCCTACTTCAAAGTTTAATATGTAGCAAAAAAAAATCAATGGATGTGTGAGAATATAATAACTCAAAATAAGGTGAGCATTATGAAAAAAAGATCCAATGACTGTCTGCGAAATAAAGTCGTTACTGTTGCTGTTGTTCAGTCACTAAGTTGTGTCTAGCTCTTTGTGACCCCATGGACTAAAGCACGCCAGGTTTCCCTGTCCTCCACTATCTCCCACAGTTCACTCAAGTTTATGTCTATTGAATTGGTGATAAGACATAGGAAATGTTGGAAAACATCTCACTTATGTTTTCATTCAGAGTTTAGAGAACACTGAAAAGAAAATCACTTAATATAATGAAATTAATAAACAAGTGCCCAAAGCAGTAAATGTGATTAGAGAAGAAAGAAAGAGAGGTGTGATGTCAGATCTAGCAGATCAGGTACATATGTTGTGGTCTGCAAAAGAGAAAACATGAAAACTGAATAAACAGCAGCAATAATCAAAGAAATTGTGGGAGAAAATATAATCAGAAAAGCTGAAAGTTAGGCAAAATCAGTGAATATAGATTCAAACCTGCATAATTCTGGTGATTTCTTTAAATTAAAAAAATAGGTAAAATGTATTCTAGAGGCTTCTAGGTAGGAAAACCTAAGAATAAAGTAAAATACTATTTTTCATATTTTTGTTCAAGAATTCTAGGTCCCAGAAGACCTTAAATCAATATTTAAGGTTCTGAACATTGGTTTAGGAACTAATAATATGTCAAGTGCAATAAAGAATTTAACGTATAGTTACTCATGGGTTCCACCCACCCCCCACTCTCTCTGTACCAGGAGCTCTTGGAGCCTCTCTGTGGTCCCCAGACAGAGGCACAACCAATAGGAAGCTTAGTAGCATGGAAGTGTCTACCTGTCTCTATAGTGTGGAAATTCAGCAGCTTTCAGAACTCTGCAGTACTATACTGCGGTGTATACTAGTCCATCATTGCATTCATTTTTTGAAAAAGTTAATTTTTACTGGAGTAGCTTTATGATGCTGTGTTAATTTCTACAGCAAATTTCTACAGTAATTTCTACAACAAAGTGAATCAGCGATAAATACATGTATATCCCCTACTCAACATTACAACAAAATTCTGAGTTATTCAACCTAAATAGCACCTTCTTAGGAGTTTATCTCAGGGTTCTTTCTCTCAGTTCTTCATTTCTTTTCTGCTCAAACAGAAAAATGCTCTCTCATATCCCATTGAGGAGAGGCTGCAAATTGGTAGCAGAGATTGCAAACTGGGGGCCCACAGATTGCAGCGATATTTTGTTTGATAAGCAGAACGCAATTTGAATGAACATTCTGAAGTTTTAGAGATCTCTATAGCCGCCTAAGCATTGAGAAGATCTGACACTGCTGAGGTTATGTTCCCTCGGGGCAGCGGTTGGCTCGGTCCAGGGTGAGGGCTCACTCCTCTGCACTTAGTCTTCATCTCATTGGAAGGAGTCTAGTTATCAGCTGTTGTCACGCTCACGTAGCTGTTTGTTTCCCCCCTGGAGTAGAGCAAGTGTTGTTTAAAGTCATGCCTCTATTGAAAGAGGGAAAACAAAAGGAAGAATGAAGAGTCTACATGCTTTCAGAAAAATGGGAGAGAATATGTTTCCTTTTTGTGAAAAGTAAACAATATTTTATGTGTCTTTGCCAAAGAATAAAACTGGAGACAGTTATGAAACCAATTAAGGAACAACTGCTCTATAGAAAAGACATATGATGAAAACTCAATTAACAGAAAGAACTAGAATTTCCACAGTTGATTTCTAAATGCAAACAAAATAGGTTTCCCAAATGGTTTTGTGAAAAAGTGGCCATAAAATCCTTTACAGATGAC